GATGCGCGCGCTGTCCCCCTTCCCGGGCCCGAAAGCTGCTGAATGAAATTGATGCCGTTCCGAATCCGGCTTGTTGGTTCTCCCTGGTCCCCTTTGCACCACCCACCATCACAGTACCAACAGGCGAATACTTCCTCTCGGCGGCTGTCATGGACCCGTCTACTCGGGACGTAGAGTCCTTTGCGGCGAGCCTCGACGCCTTCCCGATCATGTCTTGACGAGAGCCCAGAGCGCCGCCTTTGCCTCAGCCAACTTTGACGACCTGCAGCTCGACATACTCGCCATCCAGGCCGACCAGGATCGCCACCGCACCATGATGAACCTACCGCGCCTCAACTCCTTTCTCGCCGGCATGGAAGGGCTCGACTCGGCCCTGCGTTGTTTTCTCTCGGACGAAATAGTCACCACTCTTATGGCCCACATCTGGGGGCCGACACGCTGGTTTTTAAAGGTGTGTTATGCGCGTTCTTGTGGTATTCCCCGCCGCCGGGTCGGGCGCCCGCCTTGCCTGCAATGCAGACTAACAAGATCCCTTGATTCCGTTTCTACAAACAGACGGCCAGTGTAGACGATTTTGCCTTTGATCAACTCCTTGACGTGTACTACTTGCTAGGTCAGGAGTTTGTGCCCTTTAACGAGTGCGAGGTATTGTTTCGCGAGTCACCAGAGACCAGACAGTGTCTGGCGAGCTTATACGACGATCTCTTACGCTTCGAAGCAGCCGTGGCCCGGTTGTTTGGCCGGTCTTGTAAGTCGACTCTGCCAGTAGGATATGAAGACGAAACTCATAAAGTCAATATCTCTCGAACGTCGTGCTGGATTCACTGACAAATTGAGCGCGCACAGCATGGCTGAAAACATTCAGACCCTCATGGCGAGGTCTCGCGGGCAATTTTGAGGCTATCGCTGTGAGCCTCAAGATGCACGCCGCCGTGATTGAGGAAGTCATGTTTCGTACCACTTCCAGCTCCCCCGCGGCCCAGCGGCGCGCGTCTGATACCATGTCAGACATTGTCTGGGATCGTTCGTCCGTTGCCGCCAAGATGCACCAGTACTCTGTCCAAAGACAAGTCCTGTGGCAAGATTTCGACGCGCAAGCGCGCGACCGCATGCAGCGGCAGAGCTCGAGGTGTTACGCTGGGTAGCGGCGTCCCCCGTGACGGAGGCAGTACATGCCGAGTATTGTCGCGCCAGGACCAGCGTGCCCGGCGCTGGACGATGGCTGCTCGGACGCCCAGAGATTGGCAGGTGGTTGACAGCACCGGACCTTGACAGTCCTGTGATATGGCTTCACGGCAAGCCCGGAATTGGTGAGATATTGGCCAGAAAGAACCATGCTGAAGGTCGAGAAAACGCTAACTGCTCGTCAGGCAAGACTGTGCTCTCCTCGATGCTCGTAGAGGAATGCATCTCTCTGCGGCGGCAGGGGGAGGTTCCGCCAGCCTCACAAGTCCACTTCTTCTACTGCGAGGAAGGAGATGCCAATCTCAACACTGCGCTCGGCGTGTTCAGGGGACTTCTCCACCAGCTGCTACTATCTCGAGAAGATCTGCTGTCAACAATGCTGGACGAGGCGCGCAACGGCGGCCAGCTCACATTGAACACGAGTGAGACGGCTCGAGACCTCGTGGAGCTGTGCCTGGAAAGCCCTTCGCGACGCTACATCATCATTGATGGTCTTGATGCGTGTGAACCCTCAGAAGCGAAGCGCGTCGTGAGCCTGTTGACGCACATGGCCAAGAAGCCCGGGGTGCGTGCCGGGAGGCTGCGCGTGCTTTTCACAAGCCGCTCATCTACCGAGCTGAAAAGGGTGTTTGACGCAGCCAACATGTTGGAGATTGATCCAGCACAAACCTTCGTGACATTCACCACTATGTGGGTGTGCGCCTGACGAAAACCACAGGGA